TATGTGCAATTCATGGTTGTACGTGGGCTGGGATACTGCCAGGGCGCCCACACCTAGACAGGAGGACGATTAGGGTCCTCAACCAAAGCCTTTGGCTCAAAAGCCTAACCGCAAGGCAGCGGTGTTTGGCGGGAAATGCGAATGCATTACCATTTCTACGGAACAAGTGGCCACATGTTCCAACCCCCAACCTGGAGGGCCAGGAGACTGTGTTCGTCAGACCTCTAACCAGTGACCAACCTGGTATGAGAGACTCTGGGAGTGTCGCGGGACACTCTCCAGTACAGCTCAATGGATCGCTGAGGTGCGCAAACCGTCACACCACGGTAAGGTCCAGTCTCTTCGTGACGGATCCTAACCAAATGGGCTGAATCGATAGCAGTATCCACTATTAAGGAGGGTCCTTGAATTGCGAGTGGTAATCATAAGATACTAGCGACCTATAGATTGATAGCAGATCTCGTAATTTTTAGTTAAGTCCGTCAATGAGACCAGTCTATGATAAAAAACCGAGGAGCCCTGTAAGCGAACTGTATTATTTATCCTTACTTGGCTACAAACGACTATTTGTTCATTCTTCCACCTCGAGTGAAATTTACTGCCATGAAGGTTCAAAGTATTGGATTTGAATCTCAAACTAGAGAAATACAATGAAACCATATTGAACCAAATAATACCACCCCCTTGCGGAAAGTATTTGCCACCCAAACATCTGCAGTATCCACAAGTTCCCTAGCGAAATAAAGAGATTCACAATCGTCCAGCGCACGATTTGAGGCTAATTGCGCATCAGTCCTTCGCACACGTCTATTCAGGAACGAAGCACCACTAACCATAACCACCTTATCACTGGCGCAACACGTGCCTATGCTGATAGGAATTAATGTGATTCGGACGGTAGACGGTGGAAGACGCCTATCCATAATCGATATTTTGTTTGCACGCTTGTGAGGGTCTACAAACACATCGATGAACGAACGCGACCACTTGAGTTCGTAACCAGGACCTGGTTAGAACTTTGTTGTTGGGCCTAAGGATCGTGATGGAAACGCCGCAACCTAAGACCTGTTTTGGAATTGGGCCCAAGAACATACAGTGTTGAAGAAAGCCCGAAAGTAAAGCCTAGGCGCGCCAGTCATCTACATCTGCACAGTGCAAATAGATACTTTTCGCAAACTACTGTGAAAACTGAACAGTGGAGCACACTGGTAAGATTATTTCGGTTATTTTAGAATAAACTAAGGAGAAATCCTTAGACGCATGATTTTTTGATGATACATCCAAAATTCTATTTCGACCAAAGGCAACAATTTGCTTGTCCTAATGTGAGGTAATGTTAACAAACTGGTGTTGGTTTCAATGATAAAGGAATGTGTAAAAACTTTAGGACTGGCCTTGCTATTACTCTACAGGACACTTTCTGGGCTCGGTGTTCTCCAAACAAAATCAGGTTCCCCGAGAGAGGACTACTTGGGCACCAGAAGACATGCTGACGGTTAATTCCTCGTTTTTTCGTAGCACAAAATGTGGTCAAACACTGTCAGTTGACCATCCGTTCTATTTCTGCATGTCAGAACACTGCAGGCGATCTGGTAACGAACTAGCGATGAGGATGACATTTGCTTACGCACTTATGTGGGTCTATAGCGTGCAACAGCAAAGTCAGCCCGAAGCTGCGGTCAATGAACAGAGCTCACTGTTCCGCGCCCGCGACTAAAATGTAAAAGGATTGACACCATTAGCAGCAGTGTAAAAAAGTCGTTCAGCTGTAACACCCTTTCGGTGCCTAACTGCCGTGCCAAACGAGGGAAGCACGAGGGCTGGGATACTACCAGGCTGCCCAACCTAGAAAGGAAGAGTCGACATGCAGAGGTCGTATCAGCGAATCCGCGAAACCGCGCTCTAACTACTAAGCCATCTCGCCCCCCTATTAGCAGCAGTAAACCTGGATGATAACCACAGATATGCCAAAAAGTCAAACTGTTGAATCAAGTTGCTATTCCACTGCATAGGCACCCAGGGAGAAGAACATGAGATACTTCCAGGTCACCCAAGCCTCGGCACCAGCTGTCAGAAAATTAAGGCTTAATACAAGCCATGGAACACTCAACCCTCAGCTGATGACCTATCTGGGCCACAGAAGTAGAAAACACCATACTTCTGATAACAATAAGACCCTGTGAGGAGTTCGCGGTAAGAAAGTGCTGGACTCTCCGCGACGAAAGTGTAGCTCAAATTAAGTACAGTGAAACAAGATTCAAGAAAAATTGACTGTTAATATCCATACCCTAGGTACTTGGTTGTATTGCGAGCACTCATACTCATCAATTTCCAGAAATCTTGATCCGAAATCATCGGTTGCAGGCCAAGTGGAATCAGAGTCTGGAATGTAGATATCATTAAGATATAATTTGATACCTGACATCGCGTGTTGGACGTAAAGTAGAATATCCAGAAACTGTAAGGTATCAATCACACTGAAATGGAGGACATCTTAAAATGAGGCGTCATATGACAAATTCGAAAAGGTTTACTCCAGAAATAACACGCGTCCATCGAAATGAGCTCAAAATTGCGATCGCCGTTAAATATTGGCAGGAATGGTTTAGAAGATCGGTGAGCGGCGGTGCTAAAACTCTTGTCAGTTTTTACCGTCCGAACAACTCCGCAGAAATTTAAGAGGATCCGTTATAGGAATCAGCGCGTCAAATCGTTCAGTTGTGGCATCCTTTCGGTGCCTAACTTTCATGTTACCCGAAGGTTGCACGAGGGCTGGGATACTACCATGTTGCCCAAGTTTAGACAGGGGAAGTCGAGAGGCAGAGGTCGGGTTCGAACCACGAACCTTCCGGCCAGTAAATTCGCACTCTAACCACTTGAGCCATCTCGCCCCCAGTGCGTCAAATGACCCAAATTGGTTGAAACGGGATGATTCTCTTGAGAGCGTGCTGACTTTTATGAGGACACCGAGTGGTGCCTGCCAATGTCTTAATAAGGTCACGCACTCAAGGGTAGCGTTATTTGATCATTTTCCGATATAGTCCGACCAAGGAATACTGAGGTTAGGGCAATAAAAGCTACGAACGGGTACCGTTCCCTCCACTCCTATTTAATTTCATGATCGAAAAAATAATTAGACGAATACTGGTGTTGAATAGGTACTGAAGAAGGTCCCATGGATCGGGAATATGCCGACGACGAATTTCTAGGGTTCGAAGAGAAGCCGCAGGTATTTTTGGAAGAAAACCAAACTCATCCCGTGCTTTAGCGTGCACCTGTTACCCACAAACCGTAACATCACGCTTGCGGACACCATTATTATTATCACTACTACCTGTAAAAATCATGTACTTGCCATACAGTGCATCTACCAGAGGTTCTCTGTCTTCTTTGAAGAGGCCTGGACACAGACCATACGGTCCTGGTAGCTTCTTACGTTCCAGTATGAAGATATCGTGCTTTATTTCTTTTTCTGACGGATGATTAGGGTTTACATTTCATCCGCCCGTACGCACCACCTCCAAAGGCCATGTTGTAGGAGGCCAGCTAAACTGTTCTTCGAACTACCTGGTCCATCTTTCCGGACGACCTTTTCGCGAGTGAATTAATCATCCATCTTTCTCACTTATCGTTGCTTTCGTAGGACAGTCGACCGTATCAGTTGATAAAGGGCACGGCTGATTCCGGTGACCAAAGACTTCTCTAGCTCCCGGGCTTTCGATGTTAATCAGAGCTCTCGGTATTTCCTTAGGCTCTTCACTGTTTGGCGTTTGAGGAATTTGCGAGCGCCTTCGGATTCGGTGACCCACTACACTGCAAGCAACATTTGGAATCTATCAGAAGTTATTAGACATTTTTTGCCCCGGGCAGTCTTTACGAAAACTGCTCTGGTACAGATGGCTGCAGCTTCTTTGAAATGACAACGCGTTCTGAAAAACTAACGCTAGTGTGCCATGATGGTTGAATTAAGATATCACTCCATCTCGCGAACAGGTACGGGGCCACTGACTGCGGTGTTAACTGATGACCTGTTCCAGCACAGGATCTTGGTCACTGGCCTGGTGGACAATGTTAGCAGTCAGTGAACCGCTTCAAATATCAAGCGATTCAACCCCAGCTCAAAGGATACTGCTGAGACTAGGATCCCTCCTGGTTCTGGCGGGCTTGCGTCACTAAGAAGCGAAAGTGTATCGCGGTGTCCGAGGCTGTGGTGAACTGGTAATGGATCTTGACACCGCATCCCAGTAGAGTGCACCATCGCAAGAGACGGTCAGTGACGAACACCAGAATTCCATTTTTCCAGTCGGAGAAATCTAAGGAGTGGTTTGTGACCGGCAAATTAAGTAAACTGACGAACACAGAGCATTTTACGAAACGTTTTGACGGCAAGCACCATCATGAAAACTTTTTTCTGTGTAATTGCGCTCGGCTGGTGTTAGGAATCTGAAACTGTGTAAAATGGTTTTTTGGATGCTATTAGGGAATACATAAAAATCACTGCCACAGGTCGGAGCATCCGGTGCCACAACGGTTTCCATCATCAACATCAACGACAGCATGACATTAGTGTTCAACACCAATGCTTCACTCAGCACGATTCTGACAGGGCGGATAGCGCGTTACCACTTTTTCGACTATGACCATTTGTGGTGCTTCGTTCAGTAAGCCTAGGAGGCGATGTACGGCAGGCAGAAGTGGCTGATAAGACCGTGGAACAATCTGAGGCGCGTCCATGCGCTCGATGGCGTCAATGTTATCCGGATGTGGTCGGTGGTTATGTTCACCAATGATAAAACCTAAATATTTGGTCAACCGCATGAAGCTGCATTTTTTCACAAATATACTCATTTGCACATCATTTAGACTTTCATCGTAGACTCAACTGAATCTGTCGATTCTGAAATTCCTTAACTGAATGTATTTTAGTTGGTGCACTCTGAGACTTATTCTTGAATACGGCCGAGGTCGGGGTTGGAAACCATAATGGTGAGATAGTCCAAACAGACGGCAATTCGGCGGCAACCTTCAGCATCGTATTCAGGAATCGTTGAAGTATGAATGGAGTCGTACTGACACGAAGAGACATTCTAGTACGATGAACCAGATCGCACACCTCAGCTGGATCAGTCCTTGAAAAACAGTTGCCCACATTGTTCTGTGAACAAATCGTTTGGAATAGGCATATCCTGTGCAGCATTGAGGCCAGTAGAAAAGTCCTCACAAATCTGGATAGCTCTGTCACCCTTCATTACCGCCGCGATCGGTCCGGTCCGTGACAAGTAGTTAGTCGGCCCGGTTCCTGGTCTACAGTGGATAAGGTTGCGTCAGGCGCCAAACGCATCAGCTTGAAAAATGATCTAGTACTGGGGAGAAGCACCAATTCTGTCAAAGGATGTGGGTGCATAGCGCTGAGGTGGTCCCCAAGTGAATGCTTTGGAAAATAAGTCTGTTCAGGGGTACCTCTGGGTGCTGCGCACGCCATGTTGCAAACAGGATTAGTCAGTTTTTATTTTATCCCATCGACCCAATCTAACCCCATGTGCTCAAGGAATCAGTAAAAACCACGTGATTGACGCTACCTCTGCATTACCTGAAAAAACAGAAGGCGCACTGTCACCGGCTGCCGGTGACGGGGCACGCGACCTCTGAGGTGACAAGATGGCGTTCGGTTGTGTTTCCTTAAACAGATTTTTGCCTTTCATGGATTCACGGATTGATACACAGGAACAAGGCTTCCGCCCAAACTCCCCTGGTCGGGTCTTTTCTTGCCGTTGAACGGCTTCCGTTCACCTGAAAGGCACAAACACTGTTCTTTAATGCGTTCACGTGAAGCAGTAATTTTGCCAGCGCGAAGGCTCGAGTAAAAAGGCGTCTAAAAGTGCTTTGAACTGGGTACTGGATCCAGTGTGAACCACTGTCGGAGGAAGATCATTCCACGTAGCAACTACCCAAGATAGGAAAATTTTTGCCCAATGAAGGTATGCGCCCTAAGCCTGAAAATCTTCTCACCATGTCCCCGTGTGTGTTCTGGGCCAATGGTGAGAAACCTGTTAGCCAAACCTTATTCAAACAGGTATTCGATCTCTTCGGAGGTAAAGATACTCCAGGGGAAGTGAGACGAACACCGCAAGGCACGTTTAATAATCAATGGATTTATAGCCTGCAACAGTTTTTGTTGCAGATCGTTGGACACACTCTACGAGGGGCATGCCTTTTTGCAAACTGAGTAGACAACTTGCCTGGTGTATTCAAGAGGCGGTTTTGACGTAATCACCATAGTGTCTGAAAGTCTATGTAAGTAATAAGGAGGAAGGTTCGCTGAATCGTCCGTAGAACGGCAAATGCCTTTTGAGCAGCTGGAAGGACATGTTTAAAGGGAGCCAGATACCCAAATCCTTTCTAGTGTCTATCCTCGTCCACGCACGACAAAGGCATCCGGTGAGTCTCCTTCCGGGTAACATATGGACGAGCTTTTCGCCATTCAGAGAAAGGTGCCAGTCCAACAACCACTGCTCTGCAGCGTCTGCATCTATTTGGAGGGCACTGGCATTTGAACCGCAGGATCTCAACTCAGCCGCAAAAAGTAGACAAGGACTTGGAAGAACACCTGGAGGTCATTGGCGTGGATCTGAAACAGAAGTGGTTCCATAGAGGAGAATGTTGGTAGCTCAGGTAGCGTAGATGGTCTTTGGCTTGTTCGCTGAGCTGGGCAATTTGTTTGCAAACGTTTCATCACCAATCGAGGTGACATCATCAGTGCGTAGTTGTGCGTAGCGGTGGGTTAGTGGTTGTGCAGTGGTTTCAAAACAGTCTTGAGGAACTGCAATGGAGAGCGGTGCCGGAAAAGAGTGGGTCGGACCTTCTTTCATTTGGAATTTCCTGCCTGATAAGAACGCAGAATTTCTTGAAGCCCGTGAGACTCGAGGTTATGGAGCTTCAGGACGTGTGGGACTCGATCGAACGCTTTGAAAAGTCGAAAAATATGCTATCCGTTGTGAGTCTTCCGTCCTTAGCTTGGGTTGAGCTGTCCATAAGTGCGAGCATGTTAATTAAGCAAGAACGGTTAGGAAGCAATCCGTGTTGTACTGGAGATATCAAGTTGTTGGTGGCGTCCCATCACCCTGCACGATACGTTAGTGAAGCTAACAGGCATCTTGCTGCCGGGTGATAGTTGGCCACGTTTCGTAGATTGGCGTGACAATCGATTCCTTCCAAGCAGAGGGTAGGTTGCCTTCGCTGGGCGACTGAAGAAACACCATGCAGAAATGCTTTGGCAGTGTGACCGAGTTTTCCATCAATATCCTTGGGTGGATCTCGTCTGGTCTCAACGCGTTGAAGGGGTTTGCCTTGTGCAAGAGTTGACGAATATTCTCCTCAGAGAAGACAACCTTGAATGCAGGCAGTTCATAGTTACGTCTTGACAAGGCTGGATGTGACGGGGTCGCTGGAGTAGAATGCACGCCCGCATAGCGTTCTC